AGAGTTAGTGTGTACTGAGGCTGGGGTTTCAGTTTGGGAGGATTTTGGTTCCAGAGACAAAAGCACAGATACTGAACACCACTGCTCTGTGTATTTCGTGTTACGTGTATTCTACCGGAAGAATTAAAAACAAAAGGAAGGAAGGAAGGAAGGGTTGACACACACTACGACGCGGATGATCCGAGAAGACCACGCGGAGAGAAGCAGCCAGACACAAAACGCCACGTGTTGCATGACTCTGTGTATGAAACATCCAGAACAGGCAAATCTGTAGGGACAGAAACAAGACCGGCGGCCGCCAGGGCTGGGGTGGAGGCAGGAGCGTGGAGAGAAGACTGATGATTCTCTAACAGAAGCTGGAGCTGGGCACAGGTGGTGGCTACAGCGTGAAGGTTCTCAATGCCATGGACTGTCCACTTTCAAGGGGTCACATGGCAACTTCCATGCTGAGTGCCTTATAATTAAAAGGAAAAGCCCTGTAAAGCCCTGTAAATTAAGATGATAGCGAGAGTAGAATGTGCTGGAAGGCGTCCCGCTGAGCATGAGAACAGGCCCGGCCAGCCACGCAGCCTGTCCTGCCGGACGCACCGCCTTCCGCGCAGGAGCCACGTCCCTCCCTCTCGCCCGCCTCTGGCTATTCTCCACGCACCCATCCAGCCAGCCCTCCCTACGGTGGATCGAGGCTGTGTCCACAGCCTGCCAGGCCTACCCTTGGCATCAGCAGCGCTGCCTGCGGCCAAGAGAACCGTAAACACCAACAAACACCCACATGGGTGCCAAAATCACATGGTGCGCCCTGTCCACTGTGGCCACTGGGTGGCTGGAACAGGGTAATCCTCTAAGAGTCGCATTAAAATCAAACCAAAAGTGTAAAATAGTAGGGAAGATGCCAACACTCAGTGCAGCCCCAGCTCTGTTTCACACCCTCCTGACCCCAGCGAGACAAGGGCCATCTTGCACCCCAGGCACCATCCAGCCAGGTAGACGTCAGAGCACGGAGCAGGGATCACAGCAGGGGAGAGACCCCAGCCCTGCTAGCATCCTCACAGACTCCCTGGTGGCTGGCGTCTGACCTCCGAGGCTCTGGCGGAATGTTCCCCACAAAACCAAGTGGTCACCACCGCCTGGGAGCTGCCCCTGGTAAGCATCTCGAGGACCTACGCGTGTGCCCAGGACAGTCCTTTCTCAAGGCTCAGCCACATTCTTTGCATTCCCCCGTGGTGACAAGGCCCTCACCCTACTTCTGCCCTCCAGCAGACACCCTGAGTAAGCCCTTGGGCACCCTGGGACCCGCACAGGGAGAAAGGAGGCTGCCGAGGTCGTGGACAGAAAGGGCAGACCAGGGCCAGTTCTGCCAAGCTCCTGGGCTGAGTTGACTGGGTGAGCTCTCTGCTTCTGGGGCACCAGGCGGGGCCGAGACAGGAGGGGGAAATGCCGTGGCTTCCCCCATGCCCCGCGGCTGCACTGACTGCCGGGCAGCACCCCTGGGTGAGTGGTCAGGCACAAGGCGGGGCAGACGAACACAGATGGTCTTGTCACCACGGCCAAAAGGTCATGTAGGTGGCAGATACATACCTCCTGAGGACCCCCACCTGCTGAACAGCAGCATGAAGGCGCCATGGACAGGACAAGCCTCAACTTCCCTACTGGAATGTCTACCCTATCTAATTTTTTTATGTATCCACAAAGACACGCAAACCGGCAGAGCGCAAGGCTGCCATTTCAGCGTGAATGCCCCTTTCCAAGGGCCTGGAGCTGCAGCCAACACGTCACAGGGAATGTCACTGCCAGGGACAGCACCACAGGGGACAAGGACCCTGAAACCTGTATGACCAGCTACCTGCCTCCAAGCCTCCTCACCAGCTGTCTGGGCTCATGCAGGGGGTCTCCGTGCCACAGTGTCTGCACCCGCCCGGCCCCACCATGAACCTCTCCAGCCACCCCGACACGTCCTCACTTTATAAATCCCGTCCCTTGATCCACACCCCGGCAGCCCCCAAGCCAGTTCCCTGGTCCCACGTGAAGCAAAACTATACATCTGCCACGCATCTTCTGCTCTGTGACCACGCCAGCCTGTCCAGCCTCCGGTCCTTCACCCTCGCAGGCCCAGCTGCCCAGAAAGTCTCTCACCCCTTTCACAGCATGGCCTCAGAATCTCAGCCTGCACACCCACCCGCCTCAGTCTTTATCCACCGCCACCTGACACTACGTATTTTATTTTCCTTATTTATCTTGCTTGTCATCTACCTCCCACTAGGACACGCTGGGGCTCCTGCTGTTTCCCCAGCCCAGATGGTGCCCGGCCAAGAGGCACAACCAGGGCTGGATGAGCAAATGTGCCCCCCGTGCCTCCTCCCATTTCCCCCACACTCCTAAAAACTGCCCCGTCACATCCACCGCTGCATCCGCCTGCCATGGCCACTTCCACCTCCTCCTGCCAGCCGCTGATCAGTTACGGCCTCATCAGACGACCCCTCCACTCCAGCCAGGATTCCGCACTCCAGATATTTCCGAGGCCTTGCTGGCCGCTGCCACTCCTTCAGTGTCCTCCGTTCTCTTTGGGAGGTCACAGGACCAGGCCCCACTCAGCCCCTCTCTCCTGGGTAATCTTGTAAGATCCCAAGTCTCCAAACGCCTTCTCTACGCTAAGTGCTGCCAAATCTCTATCTTCAGCCCCGACTTGTCCCCTAAATCCAAGATTCACACCCCAACTGTCTGCTCGACATCTTCAGCTGAGTGACTAACGGTCAATTCACACTCAACAAGACCTGTGCCCGACACAGAACACTACCAGCACCCAGCGGCCACCAAGGGACCCGGCGCAGAGCCCACCCTGGGAGCTGGAGTTAGGGATCCCCTGCCAGAAGGGGACCGAGTCCCGAGAACTGAGTGAGCAGCTACCCCACACGCTGCCACACGGCTGCTCACGCGGACTTGAGGCTCTTCACGCAGGTCAGTGTTCCCAGGCCACGTCCCGCAAGACACGCCGTCTTCACCTTCCCGGCACCGTGAACCCAGAGTTCCACCCGTAACGCCAACACCCGTTCCAGGAAGGTTGTGGTACTCACTGTGTTCCCCTGGACACGGCATGCCTGGCTGCTCGGGGATGCTCGGGAAAACTGCAGAGAGAGAGGGAGCGTCAGTGCCCGCCGCCGTCTGCC